CTTGAAATCTAATTAACTTAACCATGATGGAGTACCTTTTGAGGGGCACCAAGGGCCATTTTTCTCAATACTACACTATTCAAGACAAATGGAAAACTTATGTGCATTCCTTAATTGAAACTCGCAATTCTAGCATAGGGAAAGAAATCTTTGTCCAAATATGGAAGAAAATCTTCTATTAAAATTATTCCTAAGTTGACAAGTAACGTAACTACGGTAGCTTTTTTTTTTTTTTTTTTGGGTAGCTTCAAATTTTATTTTAGGTAATTTTAAATTTATTTTCTAAATAGGAATACATTATCATTGCTATATAATTGGACTTTGCCATGTCATTAATACTGTATTGCTAGATTATTATTCACATACATTAACAACATTATCATATAACCTGCCACTATATTATCATGCCATGCCGACATTAAAATCACATTGTTATATATTTGTACAAAAAATATATGAGATTTTAAAATGTTTTTTGAAGGGTGAGATTTGAAAATGTTAGTATTTAAGTAATGAAAGTTTTAATAGAGTCAGTAGCATTCAAAAAAAAGTAATGAAAATTTAATTTTTATTGATATATAACATTTTAAAATTTCCTATATATTTTCATAAAGATATATGACAATGTATGTAGCATTAATATTGACATAACATGATGATATGAATATATAGTGGTATATTATATTATATGATGAACTAAATAGTACGTATTTTTGAATCATTATATTATATTATATATGTAATTAAAATATGTTTTTGTTTTTTTTGGGTGATAAAGAAACCCGCAATTACTTTCTAAAGGTGTGCATTGATAAACCTTACTTCCGTGCTCACAAATTACACATAAGAGGTAAATTACACTAAAAAAAACTACGTGAGATAAACTCAATTGAGTGAGTTAAAAATTTATCCATTCTTCCTAATCTGTTTTAATTAACCTTCTCAAAAAAAAAAAAAACAAAACAAAACAAAAAACACACACACAACAACAACAACAACTAAACGTCTAAACTCATGAACTATTTATTTAATAAATAAACGTAGAATCAAATACAAAATGTTTTTGTTGTTCATATTTTATCATATCATATCATATAATAAGGATATAATAATAATCAAAATAGTAATATAGTATGAGAGATTTGTTGATTAAACAATAATCAACATATGTATTATTATTATTATTATTATTATTATTGTTGTTGTTGTTGTTGTTGTTGTTGTTGTTGTTGTTGTTGTTGTTGTTGTTGTTGTTGTTATTATTATTATTATTATTATTATTATTATTATTATTATTATTATTATTATTTATCTATAATTATATTCTTGAGTTCGTTAAATTTTCTTACAGTATAAAACATATCAATAAATAAAATTTAATAATGTAGGCCAGGTAGTCCGGCATCCTAGCCGGACATCTAACTTCCTTCGACTCTACAACGCTAAAAGCAGTTACTGGAAAATTTGCAAAGGACCACATACATAGTATATATACAACAAAGAATTTATATATATGTATGTATAAAAGAGAATTAATTTAGTTTAATTAATGAAAATAGAGTAATTAGCAACGTAACTCACTGGAGTTTAGGACTTGTTAGCTCTTATGCCGTGGGATCAGCCTCTCATCTTTTTGGAATTTCTTCAGAGTTTTTACGTCCCTTTTCTCCCAATGAAGATTAATATAGCTATGCTTATTCTTTATAATTTATAGGAATTTGTCGTATAGGTATATACTTTTAAAAAAAAAAATATGGAGAGAAAAATTAAAAAAATAAAGCGTAAATGTTGGTTCAATGTGAAAATGACATGCATGGGATATTCTTCAAACGCACGGCATCAAATTTTTTCTTGAAAAAATTAATGTTGTTTGGCAACTCAATTAATAATGCAATTAATAGGTAATTAAGTAGTACGTATAGAATATCAATTACGGCGCCAACATAATATTGGCAGTTTGGCACTATACTCGGTGAGTTTTTGATTTTTGTACTAACAAATGAGTTTTTTTTTTTCATAGTTCAAACTCAAAATATTTGGTTAATCAGGTGCAAAACTTTAAAGTGCACAAGTCTTACTTGTTCCTCAGTTGCACAAGTTTTTGTACTAACAAATAATTTTTATAATTTTTGTACTAATAAATATGACATTTTGGTAATTTTTAATAACTTTGAAGTGCACGAGTCTTGTTCCTCAGTTGCACAAGTTTGAGCCTACGGGTGCATAACTTTGAACCTTCAGGTATGCAAAACTTTAAAGATGCATAACTTTGAACCTACGAGTGCATAACTTTAGACATTCACGTGCATAATTTTGAATCTTTAGGCGCATAACTTTGAACCTTTAGGTGCATAACTTTGAACATTTAGGTGCATATTGTTGTGCATTTGAGTGGGCATTATTGTGTCTTCGGGTGCATATTGTTTTGCCTTCGAGTGCACATTGTTGTGTCTTGGAGTGCACCTTGTTGTGTCTTCAAGTGCACATTGTTGTGCCTTCGTGTGCATATTATTGTGCCTTCAGAAGGAGAGGAATTGGAAAAATTAGAATTCTACCTTTGGAAGGAGGAATTGTTCTTCGGGTGCATAATAAGTCCACTTTTGAAAGGAGTGTGCTCCTTCCAATCCAGAACAGGTGCATAAATTTTGTTCTTGAAGAGTTGAAGTGCACATGTTTGTTCTTCAAAAGTGATTTTTTTTTTTTAGAGTTTTTTCGCACCTCATCACACACACGAAACACTTTAGCGTTGCTACTCTATTGTCGTCATATCTAAAAAGTAAATAAGAGGACAATTTTGAAAGAAATCACCATTTTCCACCTCATTTTAATCAAGTTATATGACCAAAATATCTTATTATTTTTAAATTTTTTGGACGACAAGGAAAATTCATAAATACTATATGATGGTCTGCGTGGTAAACCTCACTCCTTTTAATATTTGATATGAGACATGGAGGCTGCTATGTCACTGAAATTGTTCTTTTACAAATATGACTCCATTTTCATTTATATTTTGTAAGCATATATATATGCTTTAGTTTTCAGAATATGGAATAAACCTATATACCAAAAAATAATTCCCTTGACGAGTTCGCCTGTCCATAAAATACAAATGAACAGGAAAGTGCATGTTTGGTTCGGAAACCGGAGTTGACCTTTCAATTATCGTAGAGATTTTCATCTATTATTTATAGTAGTCTGGTTGGAAATTGCTATTTAATATTTACCTTAAAATTGTTCATTGACTCAACTCATCCAAGATCCGCTGTCATAATATATTCTTTGTAGACCATCTATGACCACATGTTTTTTTTTTTTTTTTTGAGTGACGAGAAAAAATTATTGTTACTATTTAAATTTATGTACGAGATAAAATCTGTTATTGTATTGTATAATAGCTTGAAAATCATACATAAAAAGTAATTAAAGTGTACAAGGGTCATTTGTTGGCTAACTACTGGAGCTAGATGTTTTAATTGCATAAATTTTTATTTGACGGTTTAATTGCACAAATCATAATGGGGTGTTTGGTAGGATAGATTTGTAATTTCATTCATACCAAACTCCATGAAATTACAATTCCATGATTTGGTTGGAGGGAATTGCAATTCTACACTTTGTGAAATTGTAATTCCATGATAAATTATTATTTTATTATTATATTAATATTAATATTATATTCCATGATAAATTATCATTTTATTATTATATTAATATTAATATTAATATTAATATTATACAATAGCATTTTAGTATTTATTCACTTCTTCCCTCTCAATTCTCAATCATTCTATTTCTTCATACCAAACAATGCAATTTAAATTTTCACTTTATTATTTTTTCACGAAATTACAAATTCTTTTCTTCTTAATTCCTTCGTTCCAACAAAACGCCATGTAATAGTTCGATATCCTATTTGATGTTTTTTCCTAAATTATTTAAAACTACTTTATGTGCCTATATATATAGGGTTTCAATGAGAACACTTGCTTAGGTGAGAACGTGAGAACAAATCGTGTGCATTCATCTAATACTTTTTAATGATCTAAATTAGATTAAGTGTGTGCGAACGCGGATAAAATGTGTGCAAACACACTTAATCGCATTTGCACATTTAATTCACGTTCGCACACACTTAATCGCATTTGCACACATTTAATTCACGTTCGCACACACTTAATCTAATCTAGACTATTAAAAAATATTATATGAATGCACACGATTTGTTCTCACGTTAATAAATTTAGATTCATATTTAATTTATCTGAAATTGTGATTGGCCTACAATATTGTTCGAATTTGTTTAAATGATTAATGGACCTCATTGGGTGTCTCAAAAGAGTTGTACTATAAGGAATTTCAAATTCTACTCCAATTATACTCTTTAATATGATAAGCATGGATAAGACATTTTCATTTTGTAGGTATAGAAAAAATTATCAACATCTAAAATTGGTAACACAACAATTTCACACGAAGCATTATCTGTCTCAAAATGGCATTCGCAATTTCACTCGCCAACAATGATATGACACGCAGTTCAATGACTTTTCCCAAATCCCAACAACTCCTTGGACTAATGTTTTTGTTACTAATGAACTAATGATTTATTATTATATGTACATGTATTTAGATATACATTCTCTCATCCATTTTATCAGTCATACTTATTATTCATTATTTATTTTCTTTAATATTTTTCTTATTTTTAATTTTTAATTTTTAATTTCTGTGTTTAATAATACTTTTAGTGTAGTTTCTAAATATATAAATTTTGTATACCAATATTAAACTTAATATTATAAAAAATTGAATTGAATTAAATATAATTTCAATCAAACCTCGTTAACTGAATAAAGATGAATATTATATTGTGTGAATTAAGGACAGGACAAGAAAAGCCTTGGGAAGGTCATTCTTGCCGGCTGCTAACAAGTAACACCACAGAAGACCATTAAGCCATCCACTTCGCTTACTATTCCTCTCCTTCAACTCCATTCTTATCATCAACCTTTCTCTGTAGGTAACACTACTGTTTACCCAAATTCACTGCTTTTTTTCTTCTTCTTTCACATGATTTCATTCAGAATATAATCAACTGCTCTATTCATCAAAGATCATTGGGTATTGCACCCCTTTCTTGCTTGGATCATGTATAATTATTTGTGGGATATTCAAACTATTCTGAATCTCGATCAGATGAACTATCTATCAAACTATTAACTTCAAGAGACTAAATGGTCATGTTTTGCAGATCAGAAAGAATGGCAGGTGAACCGGTTAATGTGAAGGAGTTTCAAGAGCTTGCTAGGCAAGTCCTTACAAAGATGAACTATGACTTCTATGCTGGGGGAGCTGAGGATGAGCACACACTAAAAGATAATGAAAACGCTTTTCAAAGAATCATGTGAGTTTTTCATACCTCTTATGATATATCACTGCTTCCAACACAGTCTGTATCTGAACATCATCAACTTCCCCACTGGTTTCAGTATTCGCCCAAGAGTTCTTATTGATGTGAGCAGAATTGATATGTCAACCACAATTTTGGGGTACAACACATCCGCTCCCATCATGGTTGGCCCAACCGCCATGCATAAACTCGCACATCCTGATGGTACGCTTCTTAAATCTTACTCGATTAGCTTAGTTTAGTTGAAGTTGGCATGTTGCTCTGATTCAAGTAGGTGGTGAAATCTTTTTCCAGGGGAAGTTGCAACAGCGAGAGCAGCAGCTGCAAGTAACGTCATAATGGTACTAAAGTTCTTCGGGTTTTAGGCTGCTGCTGCTTAAAAACTGATATTAATGTCAAACAGTTAAAATCACTCTTGAATTCTTGATTGTGATAGGGATTGTCATTCTCGGCATCCAGAACGATAGAGGAAGTCGCTGCTAGCGTCAATGCTGTTCGCTTCTTTCAGATCTATGTATTCTCTTCTCCCTTTTTGTCTCGATCTCCATACATACTTCTTCCAGATCCATGAATCCATAAACTGCAACATGTAAAACAATACTTCTCTGAATACATTGGTAGCTTATTTTCAACTTGTAAACAAGGTTTTCAAAAGGAGGGACATTACAGAATTAATGGTGAGAAGAGCTGACAGGAATGGGTTCAAGGCAATCATTCTTACAGTTGATACTCCTAGACTGGGAAGAAGGGAAGCAGACATAAAAAACAGGTAAACTTCATATCATTAATCTTGATTACTACAGAAAGTTAGCTAGAATTTATTGTTCAGTCATGTCTAGTCCATGGTTGCAGTAGGCGCTAGACAGAATTTAGGCGGCGCTAGGCGCTAGTCAGAATTTAGGCGGACACCAAAAAAATTTTAAAAAATAGTGACAGACTTGTAGTTTGACAATTTTAATGAGGCTGTTTTCAACATTCAATCAAATAACACATCCAAATAAATAAAATAATAATAATTTATAAGTCATAACATCATAATAATATTAAAATCAATAATTAATGAAAGACGACATCGGTCAAAATAGAACGAAATTAGTCAAAATCAGACAAAATCGGTCAAAATCATACGAAATCGGTCACAATCGGACGAAATCGGCCGAGTTGGCCGCCTAGGCAGCCGGCCGAGTAATGGCCGACTACAATAAAAAACGGAACTGCATGGCGCCGCCTAGGCCGAGTTTTACCTTGCTTTTCTTCTCCTTCCATATGAACATCATCTATCTTCAAAATTGCAGATTTATTTCACCTCCATTGAAGAATTTTGAAGGGCTTATCTCCACCACAGTTGTCCCTGTAAGTGTATTTAAAAAGGTTTTCTCATCTCTTATGGTGCTGTTTTACTCATATGTTGGAAGTAAAGACTGATTGCCGATCAAATTAAGCATGTTTTGTTAAGAACCCAAAGCTTTATCCACAGCACAGAACATATTCAACTGTACATAAGCTCATATACACTGCACAATCCTACAGAACTGTTTTGACATCAAGAAAGTATAAAACTCATATGAACTGTTCTTGATCTCATTTTTCTTTCAACTCATTTTGCCTTTTAGTTTACAAAGAACAGCATCTAACAGTAATTTTTTCTATGAATTCAATCATCTATTGTTTGCAGGACAGTGGTTCGGGTCTTGAAGCCTATGCATCATCGACTCTTGACAGTTCCCTCAGTTGGAAGGTATAAAATCACAATGTATACTTGATCATCGAAATACAATGGCACAAGGGGAATTTCTGATTTGACTAAGATTAAAAGGGAAAAAACTGATTTAACTAATAAAAAGAAGAGAAATTTCTGATTCAAGTCATTCTCAAACATGATTTACCTTCAAACTTCGTTTTGATTGAACATTCAAGAGGTTAGGTGTTTGAATAAACTTTGCCCAATGCCCCAATCACAGTGGAAATATCACAAAAACAGCATGTATATGTGCCATCAAATTTCTTTATAACTATTTTGCACTGCTTACCAAAAATGCAGGATATAGCTTGGTTAAAGTCGATTACAAATTTACCTATTCTGCTCAAGGGGATACTCACTCATGAGGATGGTCAGCCCATAATTCTCCTTCAAAGAATCTGTTTTTATTGTTCATATCTAATGAAAGAAAAGTATGAAATTCTATAAAGAAATATGGTGTACTATTATAGCATAATGATATTTAAAAATATAACGAAAACTCATGAGAAGCAAAGATAAACAAGCCTAAAACATGTTTAGTCTTAATCAAAAAAGAAATCTGTCAAAACTGATATAATAACTTGTTCATGATTTCCCCTTGGCCATTTGCCATGGACTCCATGTCCTCATTCTCTAGCATTCCGCTTTGTTTCCACTTACCTGTGTGCTAGGCAGATTCAGACTCTTCATTGCTAGATTCACCATAGGGTTGTGGCCTTTGACAAATAGGATTAGACCTGTCCACAGGTAGTTCACAAGTAACTTCTTGATCAACATCATCTGAACTCATCATTCCCCTGTTAGCATTCACTCCAAGAGCAACCAATCCTCTGTTGATCTTCTCCGTGTTCATCTCCATATGAGTGAATCACCTGATGAATCTTTGTTTCAAATTTTCCAATATCTGGAGTCTGGACCCTTGGTCTGACAACAACGTTTTTTCCTTGCTTTCCATCAGCTATCATAATATACCAGGATAACATGTTCCCACTATAGTGCCAAACGACCAAAACAAAAAGGATTAAATTTAAATTTAAAGATATACAAGAATCCAGGAGAAAGAAATCTCTCCGAATTGTATGCAAAACTCATATAATATGTCAAAAGTTGCTGAAAACGAGACCAATAGGAGTAGATATGGGTGTCGCAAAACTCTAGGCTAAATAAATAAGTGTTTGCATCAGAGTAGGAAATAATATGCCGACTAATACCAGCCAACCAGTGCTGGTCAAGTGTTGGCACCCAACATTCCGCTAGAGTACAAGAACAAAAGAGGGCCATTCCCGGTATGCCAGTTCCTCCCTGCAATCTATGCAGCTCCCCCTTTAAAAGCTTAGTATAATTTTGTACAATGACCTGAAGTGAACTTTTAACGAAGGGCATTTAAGCCTAGGAGGCACTGAAACTGAAAGGAAGATGTGAGAAGAGCTTAGCATAACTATTTGAAGTTCATATCTTTTTCCAAGTCTGCTTATGCTATGACATGATATTTACTGCAGCAATAAAAGCATTGGAAGTAGGAGTTGCAGGTATTATTGTGTCTAACCATGGAGCTCGCCAGCTTGATTATACTCCAGCCACTATATCTGTTCTTGAAGAGGTAATTCCTTGTCTTCTCATGAGATATGGCTGCATCATATGCAATCTCACTATTATTTCAGTTTGGGCATAAGTGACCAGGACACACCAGATGCTTGGAAGAAAGTTGCTAGATGCCCTGCTGGGTTTCATTCACAAATTTGACCATCACTTTGCTTGCGCTAAACAAAATTTATCCTTTATGTTGTGTATCCATTCTAGAGTGGAAATGTGAAGAATAAACCCGTTCTTGATGTATACAATTGCAGGTAGTTCTTGCTGTCAAGGGAAAAGTTCCTGTCCTCTTTGATGGAGGAGTGAGGCGAGGAACAGACATATTTAAGGCCTTAGCCCTTGGTGCACAAGCAGTTCTGGTAAAATTACTGTTTTTTTCTGTGACTTTTCACTCCAATTCATTCTATGCTGCTCTTTCTTCACCTCTCACATACCCTGCAGATTGGGCGACCAGTAATCTTCGGGTTGGCAGCGAAGGGAGAAAATGGGGTAAGACAAGTAATAGAGATGCTAAAGAATGAACTTGAGCTGACTATGGCCCTTTCTGGGTGCTGCACTATTAAGGACATAACCAGAAGCCATGTGAGGACTGAGAATGAGAGCCTTGCTTGCAGGCTCTAGTTTTCTTCCCCAAAAATGCATACATTTCTTATGGCTATGTTTACAAAGACAGCTACTAATAAAGCCAGACAGTTGTAAACTTGCAATGAAGTGATCCCAAGTTCCCTTCATCTACATGAGAAAAATGAGGAATTTGCATTCATCAACTCAAGGTTTAGAACCTTATACAGTTAACATGCTTATATGTATCCATTTACTAAGCAAATTGCATAATGGCCAAGTATAAAGCGATTACTTTGTTTTCCATTCCAAGAAACCAAACGAGAGGGGTGTTGATTGGAAGAAGGTAGAGGCTCAGATCTGAGTTGTAGGGGCAAAAGAGAAGCCAGAGCCGCCATGGCTGCGAAGAACCGGCAATCCGGGTCGCCCCGCCAAGGTACAGGTGGATCGTCTCAATTCCTGAAAGAGTAAAGCCCAGAAAGTGCAGTGGGAGAAGAAATCATCACAGCCTCAAGAAAGAAACACACAAATTATATGAGAATAGCTAGCTAGCTTTGAATGTGAAGATACTTAGTAGACAGCAGTAGTATCTTTGTTTTATGAAAAGGGCTGTTAGGTTTTCCGATTGTGGAATGAAAATCATGGGCACAACAGAGAGGGGTAACCGCCCTTTCAAGAAAAATCCCTACTCTCTGTGTTGCCTCATTTGTTTCTCCATTTCTGGGCTAGGGACGGAGGGAGCTCAATAGTCAACTCTAGCTTTAACACGGTTGAAACCATTCCCTCCCAATTCTGATCCATGTTTCTCTAAGAGTTAATTCCGGTCCCTTGTCTTTGGTGGTAATTTCAAATTTAGTCTCAAATTATCATTTTTGTCATTTAACATCCTAGATTATTAATTTTTGAACACTTTTAGTCCTTTTCATGACTTTTTCTATTTTTTGTAAGGGCAATTTTGTCTTTTCATATTTTGTTTTGATTTAACTGGTTTAGAACTTTAGGTAACCTCGGATTTTTAGTAACAATATTTTTCAACAGGTTTTTAGTAAAGTTATAAACCAATTACACTGGTTGAAACAGAAAAAATAATAAAAGAAAAATATGAATAGACAAATATGCCCTCATTAAAAATAGAAAAAATCATGAGAACGACTAAAAATGTCCAAAAACCAATAGTCTGGGCTTCTAGCTTTAACACGGTTGAAGCCACTCCCTCCCAATTCTGATCAATGTTTCTCTAATTATCTCTTTGAGCAAATACCAATTTTGGTCCCACGAGTACTACCAAAATGATATTTTTAATCCACATGTTTATACAAAGAACAAATTGCACTTTTGGTCCTGTGACTATTAGGGTGTTGGTAATTTGAGTACTTGACTTTCAAAACTCTCAATTTAGTCCTTTAACTATGCAATTGTTAGCAGATTTGGTCCTGCCGGTCAATTTTTACCGGAAAAACATAATTGGGTTCAAATTGTTTATTGATGAGGGTAAAATGGTCATTTCACTCTCTTCTTCTTCCATTCTCCCCCTTCTTCTTCTTCATCCTTGCAGTTGTTGTGTTCTTCTTCAGATTAGGCCTCGCCATTGCTCGCAGCACGCCACAGCTGGTCGTTCGCGGGCAGTTCCTGAGCTCGCAGAGGCTAACAAATTATTGGAAGTTCTTCTTCTTCCTTCTTGCAACGACGACCAGAAAAGAAAATAAGGGGAGGAAGAAGTCGAAACCAGAGTCGGAATAACATGGTGACCATATGGACGCTTGCGCCGCCAAAAGTCCCAGCTAGAGCCACTCAAAGTCGAAGCCGGCGAAGAAGCTGAGCCCGACGGCGACCGACATTCCGACAAGGCAGAGAAGCCCAACGTGCTTGCTTTCCCTCTGATCACGTTGAGATCTCCGCCGCAGAAAACCGTCAGCCTCTCCCTTGTCGTCAATGAAGCAGAGTCCATAGCTTTGGCCGGCGGTTCTCTCACCGTCGGCTTCGCCAACATCACCGAATATTCCATCCTCTCCGGCTTAGCCATGGGAATGGGGATTCTGATTCAGACCACTTCTTTGATCTACATTTTCCTGTCTTCTCTCAGCTTCAACGTCGTCTCCACCAGAGTGGGCAACAAGCTGGGGGCACGGGAGCCTAGAAATGCCATTGTTAGCCTCTGTGAGCTCGGGAACTGCCCGCAAACGACCGGCTGCGGCGTGCTGCGAGCAATGGCGAGGCCTAATCTGAAGAAGAACGCAGCAACTGCAAGGATGAAGAAGAAGCACGAAGAAGAAAAGGGAGAATGGAAGAAAAGAGAGTGAAATGACCATTTTACCCTCGTCAACAAACAATTTGAACCCAACTATGTTTTTCCGGTGAAAATTGACCGGCGATTTGGCCGGCAGGACCAAATCTGCTAACAATTGCATAGTTAAAGGACTAAATTGAGAGTTTTGAAAGTCAAGTACTCAAATTACCAACACCCTAATAGTCACAGGACCAAAAGTGCAATTTGTTCTTCCTACAAATTTTCATTAAGACTATTGTTTTAGTATTTAGTACCAATTTTTATCCAGGACTATTGTTTTAGTGTCAAACTAAGAATGCCCACCACGGAAAGTAGAACTTGGAACCTTGATTACCAAACCATTTTGGCTGGGTTGCCCCAACAGTTGTAAACTTGTAATAAAGTGATCCAAGTTCCTTTCATCAACATATGAAAAATGAGGAATTTGCATTCATCAGCTCAAGATCAGACTAAAAGTTTAGACACTTAACATGATTGCATGTATCCATTTACTAAGCTGATGACAAAACATAATGCTATGATTAACAAATTGCAGAATAGCTAAAAGCATAAAGCGCTTCCTTTCTTTTCCCATACCAAGAAACCAAACGAGAGGGCTATTGATCGGAAGAAGATAGAGTAGAGGCTCAGATCTGAGTTGTCGGGGCAAAAGAGAAGCCAGCGCCGCCATGGCTGCGAAGAACCGGTATTCCGGGTCGCCCCGCCAAGGTACGGGTGGATCGTCTCAATGCCCTAAAGGGTAAAGCCCAGAAAGTGCAGTGGGAGAAGAAATCATCACAGACTCAAGAAAAAAACAGGCAAATTATATCATAAACCCTAGCATTGAATGTACACATTACTTAGTAGACTGCAGATCAGATCAGATAGAAATCAAGAAAAAACACAAGAAATTGTGTGTACTGTAGTAGTTTATGTTATCAGAAAAGGGCTGTTCGTTTTTTTTTTTCCAATTGTGGAATGAAAATCATGGGCACAACAGAGGGGGGCAACCGCCCTTTCAAGAAAAAACCCTTCTCTGGCCTCAGTCTCTGCATTTCTGGGCTACGGAGTGATCTAGTTCCACTGTTGCGTTAAAGATGTTATTTATATCCATTCTTGTCCTGGACGACTATGTTGAACGGTATTTTTTTTAGTGTAAGGTATAGTTTACGAATTACACCCTCCGTCTCATTTTATGTGTCTTGGTTCGGTACTTCGGTTAATTAAACTTGACTGAAGTTATTCTTAATCTAATTTTTCATAATATTAAATTTAGTATTAATATACAAAATTTATATATTTAGAAATACTATTAAACACAAAATCAAATTTAAAAATAAGTAAAAAATACTAAAGAAAATAAACAAAGAAGAAAGAATTGATTTGACCAACTAATAGTAAATAAGACAGAAAGAGTATTACACAAATAAAATTTATCTAGTACATATTATTATTTTGCTGATTATGATTTTTAATGATTTCGTATCGAATCCGAACTACCTATTGAATGTGATCTATTTATAGGACTTGGATTTGAGTTGTCTAAACAAATGATTAATGAACCTCATTGGATGTCTCAAAATTATTCTTCTATGGGAACTCTTAAATTCTACTCGATCAATTATCAATTATACTTTTTAATGTGGCAAACATGAATAAGACATTTTCATCAAGAAAAATTATCTATATCCAAAATCCAAAATTTGTATAAAAGAATCAAAGTTGACTACAAATAGTATTTTCTGTCAACAATGACATGCCACGCAGGTCAATGACTTTTACCAAATCCCAACAACTCCCTGGACTAATGTTTTTGTTACTAATGATTTATTATTCTACGTACATGAATTTAGATTAACACTATTTTCAAAAAAAAAAAAAAAGATTAACACTCACTCTTCCATTTTAACTGTCATACTTATTATTCATTGTTATTTTCTTTAATATTTTTTACGTATTTTTAAATTAAAACTTTTTTTTATGTTTAATAATACTTTTAGTATAGTTTCTAAATATATAAATTTTGAATATCAATACTAAACTTAATATTATAAAAAATTGAATTAAACATAATTTCAATCAAACCTCGTTAACCGAATCAAAGATGAAAGTAAGGACAGGACAAGAGTCATTCTTGCCGGCTGCTAACATCACAGAAGTCCATTAGGCCATCCACTTCGCTTACTATTCCTCTCCTTCAACTCCATTCTTATCATCAACCTTCTCTGCAGGTAACACTCTACTGTTTACCCAAATTCACTGCTTTTTTCTTCTTCTTTCACATGATTTCATTCAGAATATAATCAACTGCTCTAATCATCCAAGATCATTGGGTATTTTTCCCCTTTCTTGCTTGGATCATGTATAATTATTTGTGGGATATTCAAACTATTTTGAATCTCGATCAGATGAACTATCTATCAAACTATTAACTTCAAGAGACTAAATGGTCATGTTTTGCAGATCAGAACGAATGGCAGGTGAACCGGTTAATGTGAAGGAATTTCAAGAGCTTGCTAGGCAAGCCCTTCCAAAGATGAACTATGACTTCTATGCTGGGGGAGCTGAGGATGAGCACACACTAAAAGATAATGAAAAAGCTTTTCAAAGAATCATGTGAGTTTTTCATACCTCTTGTGATATATCACTGCTTTCCAGTTTGCTTCCAACACACTCTGTATCTGAACATCATCAACTTCCCCACTGGTTTCAGTATTCGCCCAAGAGTTCTTATTGATGTGAGCAGAATTGATATGTCAACCACAATTTTGGGGTACAAGACATCCGCTCCCATCATGGTTGGCCCAACCTCCATGCATAAACTCGCACATCCTGATGGTATGCTTCTTAAATCTTACTCGATTAGCTTAGTTTAGTTGAAGTTGGCATGTTGCTCTGATTCAAGTAGGTGGTGAAATCTTTTTCCAGGGGAAGTTGCAACAGCGAAAGCAGCAGCTGCATCTAACGTCATAATGGTACTAAAGTTCTTCCGGTTTTAGGCTGCTGCTGCTTAAAAACTGATGTTAATGTTAAACAGTTAAAAGTCACTCTTGAATTCTTGATTGTGATAGGGATTGTCATTCTCGGCATCCAGCACGATAGAGGAAGTCGCTGCTAGCGTCAATGCTGTTCGCTTCTTTCAGATCTATGTATTCTCTTCTCCCTTTTTGTCTCGATCTCCATACATGCTTCTTCCAGATCCATGAATCCATAAACTGCAACATGTAAAACAATACTTCTCTGAATACATTGATAGCTTATTTTCAACTTGTAAACAAGGTTTTCAAAAGGAGGGACATTACAGAATTAATGGTGAGAAGAGCTGAAAGGAATGGGTTCAAGGCAATCATTCTTACAGTTGATACTCCTAGACTGGGAAGAAGGGAAGCAGACATAAAAAACAAGTAAACTTCACATCATTAATCTTGATTACTACAGAAAGTTAGCTAGAATTTATTGTTCAGTCATGTCTAGTCTGATTAGAGATATAAAATTACCTTGCTTTTCTTCTCCTTCCATATGAACATCATCTATATTCAAAATTGCAGATTTGTTACACCTCCATTGAAGAATTTTGAAGGGCTTATCTCCACCACAGTTGTCCCTGTAAGTGTATTTAAAAAGGTTTTCTCATCTCTTATGGTGCTGTTTTACTCATATGTTGGAAGTAAAGACTGATTGCCGATCAAATTAAGCATGTTTTTGTTAAGAACCCAAAGCTTTATCCACAGCACAGAACATATTCAACTGTACATAAGCTCATATACACTGCATAATCCTACAGAACTGTTTTGACATCAAGAAAGGATAAAACTCATATGAACTGTTCTTTGATCTCATTTTTCTTTCAACTCATTTTGCCTTTTAGTTTACAAAGAACAGCATCTAACAGTAATTTTTTCTATAAATTCAATCATCTATTGTTTGCAGGACAGTGGTTCCGGTCTGGAAGCCAATGCATTATCGACTCTTGACAGTTCCCTCAGTTGGAAGGTATAAAATCACAATTTGTACTTGATCATCTAAATACAATGGCACAAGGGGAATGCCTGATTTGACTAAGATTAAAAGGGAAAAAACTGATTTAACTAATAAAAAGAAGATAAATTTCTGATTCAAGTCATTCTCAAACATGATTTACCTTCAAACTTCGTTTTGATTGAACAACATTCAAGAGGTTAGGTGTTTGAATAAACTTTGACCAATCACAGGGGAAATAATATCACAAAAACAGCATCTATATGTGCCATCAAATTTCTTTATAACTATTTTGCACTGCTTACCAAAAATGCAGGATATAGCTTGGTTTAAGTCGATTACAAATTTACCTATTCTGCTCAAGGGGATACTCACTCATGAGGATGGTCAGCCCATAATTCTCCTTCAAAGAATCTGTTTTTATTGTTCATATCTAATGAAAGGAAAGTATGAAATTCTATAAAGAAATATGGTGTATTATTATAGCATAATGATATTTAAAAATATAACGAAAACTAATGAGAAGCAAAGATAAACAAGCCTAAAACATGTTTAGTCTTAATCAAAACAGAAATCTGTCAAAACCGATATAATAACTTGTTTGATCTCATGATTTCCCCTTGGCCATTTGCCATGGACTCCATGTCCTCATTCTCTAGCATTCCTCATGTTTCCACTTACCTGTGTGCTAGGCAGATTCAGAGTCTTCATTGCTAGATTCTCCATAGGGTTGTCGCCTCTGACTAATAGGATAAGACCTGTCCACAGGTAGTTCACAAGAGCAACCAATCCGTTGTTGACCTTCTCCGTGTTCATCTCCATACGAGTGAATCACCTGATGAATCTTTGTTTCAAATTTGTCAATATCTGGAGTCTGGACCCTTGGTCTGACAACAACGTTGTTCCCTTGCTTTCCATCAGCCATCATAATATACCAGGATTACATGTTCCCACTATAGTGCCAAACTACCAAAACAAAAAGGATTAAATTTAAATTTAAAGATATACAAGAATCCAAAGAGAAAGAAATATCTCGGAATTGTATGCAAAACTCATATAATATGTCAAAAGTTGCTGAAAACGAGACCAATAGGAGTAGATATGGGTGTCTCAAAACTCTAGGCTAAATAAATAAGAGTTTGCATCAGAGAAGGAAATAATATGCCGCCTAATACCAGCCAACGAGTACAAGAACCAAAGAGGGCCACTCCAGGTGTGCCAGTTCCTCCCTGCAATCTATGCAGCTCCTACTTTAAAAGCTTAGTATAATTTTGTACAATGACCTGAAGTAAACTTCGAAGGGCATCTTAAGCCTAGGAGGCACTGAAACATGAAAGGAAGATGTGAGAAGAGCTAGCATAACTACTTGAATTTTTATATCTTTTTCCAAGTCTGCTTATGCTATGACATGATATTTACTGCAGCAATAAAAGCATTGGAAGTAGGAGTTGCAGGAATTATTGTGTCTAACCATGGAGCTCGCCAGCTTGATTATACTCCAGCCACTATATCTGTTCTTGAAGAGGTAATTCCTTGTCTTCTCATGAGATATGGCTGCATCATATGCAATCTCACTATTATTTCAGTTTGGAGCATAAGTGACCAGGACACACCAGATGCTTGGAAGAAAGTTGCTAGTTGCCCTGCTGGGTTTCATTCAAAAATTTGACCATCACTTTGCTTGCGCTAAACAAAATTTATGCTTTATGTTGTGTATCCATTCTAGAGTGGAAATGTGAAGAACAAACACGTTCTTGATGTATACAATTGCAGGTAGTTCTTGCTGTCAAGGGAAAACTTCCTGTCCTCTTTGATGGAGGAGTGAGGCGAGGAACAGACATATTTAAGGCCTTAGCCCTTGGTGCACAAGCAGTTCTGGTAAAATTACTGTTTTTTTCTGTGACTTTTCACTCCAATTCATTCTATGCTGCTCTTTCTTCACCTCTCACATACCCTGCAGATTGGGCGACCAGTAATCTTCGGGTTGGCAGCGAAGGGAGAAAATGGGGTAAGACAAGTAATAGAGATGCTAAAGAATGAACTTGAGCTGACTATGGCCCTTTCTGGATGCTGCACTCTTAAGGACATCACCAGAAGCCATGTGAGGACTGAGAATGAGAGCCTTGCTTGCAGGCTCTAGTTTTCTTCCCCAAAAATGCGTACATTTCTTATGGTTATGTTTACTAAGACAACTACTAATAAAGCCAGACAGTTGTAAACTTGTAATAAAGTGATCCCAAGTTCCCTTCATCTACATGAGAGACTGAGAATGAGAGCCTTGCTTGCAGGCTCTAGTTTTCTTCCCCAAAAATGCATACATTTCTTATGGCTATGTTTACTAAGACATCTACTAATAAAGCCAGACAGTTGTAAACTTGTAATAAAGTGATCCCAAGTTCCCTTCATCTACATGAGAAAAATGAGGAATTTGCATTCATCAACTCAAGGTTTAGAACCTTATACAGTTAACATGCTTATATGTATCCATTTACTAAGCAAATTGCATAATGGCTAAGTATAAAGCGATTACTTTGTTTTGCATTCCACGAAACCAAACGAGAGGGGTGTTGATTGGAAGAAGATAGAGGCTCAGATCTGAGTTGTAGGGGCAAAAGAGAAGCCAGAGCCGCCTTGGCTGCGAAGAACCGGTAATCCGGGTCGCCCCGCCAAGGTACGGGTGGATCGTCTCAATGCCCGAAAGAGTAAATCCCAAAAAGTGCAGTGGGAGAAGAAATCATCACAGCCTCAAGAAAGAAACACACAAATTATATGAGAATAGCTAGCTAGCTTTGAATGTGAAGATACTTAGTAGACAGCAGTAGTATCTTTGTTTTATGAAAAGGGCTGTTAGGTTTTCCGATTGTGGAATGAAAATCATGGGCACAACAGAGAGGGGTAACCGCCCTTTCAAGAAAAATCCCTACTCTCTCTGTTGCCTCAGTTGTTTCTCCATTTCTGGGCTACAGACCTAACAGAGGGAGGGAGCTCAATTCTAGCTTTAACACGGTTGAAGCCACTCCCTCCCAATTCTGATCCATGTTTCTCTAATTATTTCTTTAAGCAAATACTAATATTCGTCCCACGAATATTACTAAAATATTTTAGTACCAATTTTTTAAAGTAAATACTCAAAATGGTCCCTCGACTATAGCTAAATTCACAAATTGGTTCTTGACTTTCAATTTCAATTAATTAAGTTCATAACTTTGCAATTTTAACACAATTTGATCCTCCTTCTATTTGATCATTTTTTGACTGTGATCTCTGAGAATATATATGTAATTTCATGGTCCATCGTCCATTTTTTAAGATTCCAGTTACATTTTCAAACCGCACTGTTACATTTGAATCCACTGCCGAAAGCAATATGCCAAATCCTGTCGCCTTTCTTCATCCTCCCTTTGGATTCAATGTAGTTGAGTTCGTACCAGACCGAAGAAGACGACATGTTTTCGAACCACAATCTGCCAAGTCCACGTGCCCCGAAGAGAGTTGCAGGTTCTTATGGAGATTGTCGATGACAACGCGGCCACCGGCGTTGATGCAGAAGTGTTCGAAGGCTTGTTTGAAGTCTGGAATGTAGAGTTTCCATTTGGGATTGAAGATTTTCTGGCCGACGATGGACCATAAAATTACATATATATATCCTCAAAGATCACGATCAACAAACGGTTAAATAGACGGAGGACTAAATCGTGTTAAAATTGCAAAGTTAAGGACTTAATTGGTTGAAATTGAAAGCCGAGAACCAATTTGTGAATTTAGCTATAGTCGAGGGACCATTTTGGATATTTACTCAATTTTTTATCACATTCGTCGCCCCTTCCTTTACATGACAAAATTTAAAAAGATTAATCCCAATTCGCAATTATCATTGAGGAGGAGAACCGCAAATCAGAACAATTTTATGGTTTAAATCTATTTATTCATGCTCAAATTGGAAGCTTAATTTGAAAATGACAAAAATACATTTATTAATTTCATATTTCAACATATTTTAAACAGAATGGTGACTTGGTGTGATAAATTTTGACACCAAAATAACAGTCGTAGATGAAAATTGATAAAAATAAAATATGTGGACCAAAACTGTCATTCTGCTAATACTCCCTCTTATTTATTTGCATTATTCACTCTTTCTTTTTTTCTTCTCTTTTCTTTTTTTGGGTGACAATGGAATTACAAACACAATGTTAAACCCTACTCATGTATACCAGCTCAATATGGAGTGTTGACAAAAATCATGTCTCAGATTTTCCTTGATTTGTCCAGTTGTAAAACCCTTCCCATTCCTGTATCCCAGCATGCAAATCCTCCCATTCTGAGCTATGATCCAAAGGGGGGGTGGGGTGTCACTCACATGCCAACAATGATACGCTTGGTAACATCAGTTAGATAAGTCATCATCCAAACTCCATTAGGCCATGAATACATACACTTTTTTGAGTGCAAAAGAGTCAATACCGCCTCCACGGAAGCTCGAATTCACAACCAGAGAACAACTTGGTGCCACAGACCACAAGGTCATGGCCATGAATACATACACTTAATTATCAAAATAGCGACGAAGTCACGAAGCACCCAACTCCACTTACCATCAAGCTTCTCTGCAGGTAGGTAGGTATACACTCTACTGTTTTCCCAAATTCACTGTTTTTTCTTCTTTCACTCACATGAATTCATTCAGAATACAATATAATGAACTGCTCTAATCAGGCAAGATCATTTGGTTCTAATGATCATGCATGTTTTGTAGAACAAATTAAATGGCAGGCAAAGCAGTTAATGTGAAGGAATTTGAAGAGCTTGCTAGGAAGGCCCTTCCAAAGATGTACTACGAGTCCTTTGCTGGGGGAGCTGAGGACCAGCACACACTAAAAGATAATGAAGAAGCTTTTCACAGAATTATGTGAGTTTTTATTGTAGCGCTTCCGATCCAATCCAGTTTGCTTCCAACACCGCTAGCTGTATCTGAATCTGAACATCCACTTTCTCTGGTCTCAGTATTCGGCCAAGAGTTCTTATTGATGTGAGCAGAATTGATATGTCAACCACAATACTGGGTTACAAAACATCAGCTCCCATTATGATTGCCCCAACTGACAGGCATAAACTTGCACATCCTGATGGTATGTACTTCTTACTCTATTACCTTAACCTTTTTTGGGGGGTGACCAGGGAAACCCGTAGCCACTACCCGAGGATGTATACTGGGCAATGTCGCAAAAATCGCGCCTATGAGCCGATAATCGACGTTTAGGCGCTAGGCGGTCGGCCTCCTAGGCGCCCTAGGCGGTCCCCAGGCGCTTAGCAATTTTTTCAACATTAATACTGGGTAAACCCCACCTTTCAAGGAGGTAAACCAGTCTAGGTTGCCCATAGCTAACCAGATCAAACCAAGAAGGTGATTACAAGTCTATATCCTTAGCCATCTTGACGGGGGAGGGGGGGTTACCCCCTCTATTACCTAACTTGGTGTGTGTGTTGCTCTGATTCAAGAAGGCAATGAAATATTTTGCAGGGGAAGTTGCAACAGCTAGAGCAGCAGCTGCATGTGACGTCATAATGGTACTAAACTTCCTCTTCTGGCCGCGTAGACTTGTCCTTTTAGGCTGCTGGTGCGCTTAAAAACTGATGTTAATGTTGAAGTCACTCTTGATTGTGGTAGGGATTGTCATTCTCTGGATCCTGCACGATAGAGGAAATTGCCTCTAGCTGCAATGCTGTTCGCTTCTTTCAGATCTATGTATTCTCTTCTTCCTATTTGTCTCAATCTCCATATATACTCCTTCCACACCGCACATATGAGAATTCATAAGCTGCAACATGTTAAACAATACTCCTCTGAATAGCTTATTTTCAACTTGTACAAAAAGGTTTACAAAAGGAGGGACATTACAGAATTAATGGTGAGAAGAGCTGACAGGAATGGGTTCAAGGCAATCATTCTTACAGTTGATACTCCTAGACTGGGTAGAAGGGAAGCAAGCATAAAAAACAAGTAAACCTCATATCCTTAACCTTGATTACAACACAAAGTTAGCTAGAATTTATTGATCATTCATGTCTAGTCTGAAGTCTGATTAGAGATACAAAATTAATTACCTTGCATTTCAAAACTGCTGCAGATTGATTTTACCTCCATTGAAGAATTTTGAAGGGCTCATCTCCACCGCACTTGTCCCTGTAAGTGTATTTAACAAGGTTTTCTCATCTCTTATATAGGCTCGGTTTTACAAATATCATGTTAGAAGTAAGCTTTAGTGCAAATCAAATTTAGCACTATTACAAGAAAGAAAGGTTTCATCATATGCCAAAGTTGAGAATAATACCAGCTTTCCACAGAACAGAACATATTCATATGTACATAAGCTCATACACACTACAGAATCCTACACAACTGTTTTGACATTAACAAAGGATAAAACTCATGACTCACTCTTTATGGATGTTTGAATCCACATGCTCCTGGATAAAACAACACCTTACAGTAGCTTCTATGAATTCAATCATCTGTTGTTTGCAGGGCAGCGGCTCGGGTCTTGAAGCCTATGCATCATCAACTTTTGACAGTTCCCTCAGTTGGAAGGTATAAAATCACAATGTATACTCAATCATCTAAATACAATGGCACAACGGAAATTTCTGATTTGACTAATAATAAAACGAAATTTCTGATTAAACTCATTCTCAAACATCATTTACCTTCAAACTTCTTTCTGATCAAAATATCAAATAACACTCAGGCTTTAATGCTCATATAGGTGTTTGAATCAACTTTGCCCCATCACAGGAAAAATATCACAAAAACAGCATATGTATGTGCCATCAAATTAATTTAATTTCTTTATAACTATTTTGTGCTGCTTACAAAAAAATGCAGGATATAGCTTGGTTAAAGTCAATTACAAAGTTACCTATTCTGCTCAAGGGGATACTCACTCATGAGGATGGTCAGCCCATTATTCTCCTTCAAAAAGAAGAATCTGTTTTTATTGTTCATATCTAATGAAAGTTGCGAGGAAATTAACATTAAAAAAAACAACAAAAAATGAAAGAAAATTAAGAAACGCTATAAAGAAATACAATTAGAGTATAAAGATATTTAAAAATATAGTGAAAACTAATAAGGAGCAAAGATAAACAAGCATAAAACAAGTTTAGACTTAATCAAAAACGAAATCAATCAAAATTTTATTCAAAATTGATACAATATCATGTTTGATCTTGTGATTTCCGCTTAGCCATTTGACATGGACTCCATGTCCTCATTCTCTAGCATTCCTCGTGTTCCACAGTTACCTACGTGTTAGGCAGATTCAAACTCTGCATTGCTAGATTCACTACAGGATTCTGGACTGTGTAACTTGTGGGAATGCACCTGTCCACAGATAGTTCACAAGTAACTTTTTGATCAACATCATCTGAACCCATCATTCCCCGGCAACCAATCCTTCGCAGATCTCCTCCAAGTTCATCTCCATACCACTGGTCCCTGGAATCTTTGTTTCAAATTTGCCAACATCTGGATCCTTGGTCTGACAACAACTGGATTGTTTCCTTGCTTCCCATCGGTCATCATTATATACCAGTGCCAGTGCCGGTTTCTGACATCTGCTAGAGTGGGGGAATCAAAGAGGGCCATTCCCTGTGCACTGATTCCCTCCCTGCACTCTATGCAGCTCCCCCATCAAAAGCTTATTAGAATTTTGTACAATGTGCTGAAGTATACTCTAACTACATGAAGTCTATATCTTTATCCAAGTCTTACTTATACTATGACATGATATTTCCTGCAGCAATAAAAGCATTGGAAGTAGGACTTGCAGGTATTATTGTGTCTAACCATGGAGCTCGCCAGCTTGATTATACTCCAGCCACCATATCTGTTCTTGAAGAGGTAATTCCTTGTCTTCTCATGAGATTTGTCTGCATCATGTGAAATCTCACTATTACTTTAGTTTGGAAGGATATACTGACCTGGACACACCAGATGCTTGAAAGAAAGCTACTAGTTGCCTGCTGGGTTTTAAGAGGAAGTTATCATTTCATTCACAAATTTGACCATCATTATGCTTGAGCTAAAAAAATATATGATTTACTTTGTGTATCCATTCCAGAGAACCAGACACATTCCTGATGTACATGATTGCAGGTAGTTGTTGCTGTCAAGGGAAAAGTTCCGGTGCTCTTTGATGGAGGAGTGAGGCGAGGAACAGATATATTTAAGGCCTTAGCCCTTGGTGCACAAGCAGTTTTGGTAAAATTACTGTTTTTTCTGTGACTTTTCAGTCCAATTCATTCTATGCTGCCCTTTCTTCACCTCTCACATACCCTGCAGATTGGGCGACCAGTACTCTTTGGGTTGGCAGCGAAGGGAGAACATGGGGTAAGACAAGTAATAGAGATGCTGAAGAATGAACTTGAGCTGACTATGGCCCTTTCTGGATGCTGCACAATTAAGGACATCACCAGAAGCCATGTGAGGACTGAGCATGAGATCCTTGCTTGCAGGCTCTAGTTTTCTTCCCCAAAAATGCATACATTTCTTATGGCTATGTTTACTAAGACAGCTACTAATAAAGCCAGACAGTTGTAAACTTGTAATAAAAAGATCCCAAGTTCCCTTCATCTACATGAGAAAAATGAGGAATTTGCATTCATCAACTCAAGGTTTAGAACGACAGTTAACATGATTATATGTATCCATTTACTAAGCAAATTGCATAATGCCCAAGTATAAAGCGATTACTTTCTTTTCCATTCCAAGAAACCAAACGAGAGGGGTGTTGATTGGAAGAAGATAGAGGCTCAGATCCGAGTTGTAGGGGCAAAAGAGAAGCCAGAGCTGCCATGGCTGCGAAGAACCGGTAATCCGGGTCGCCCCGCCAAGGTACTGGTGGATCGTCTCAATGCCCCAAAGAGTAAAGCCCAGAAAGTGCAGTGGGAGAAGAAATCATCACAGCCTCATAAAGAAACACAGCAAATTATATGAGAACAGCTAGCTAGCTTTGAATGTGAACATACTTAGTAGACAGCAGATCAGACAGTAATAGTATCTTTGTTTTACGAAAAGGGCTGTTAGGTTTTCCAATTGTGGAATGAAAATCATGGGCACAACAGAGAGGGGTAACCGCCCTTTCAAGAAAAATCCATACTCTCTGTGTTGCCTCAGTTGTTTCTCCATTTCTGGGCTAGGGACAGAGGGAGCTCAATTCTAGCCTTAACACATAGTTGAAGCCACTCCCTCCCAATTCTGATCAATGTGTGTCTAATTATTTCTTTGAGCAAATACCAATTTTGGTCCCATGAGTATTGAGTATTGACTATTGTTTTAGTACCAATTTCATCCACGACCATTGTTTTAGTGGTCCAAGTTCCTTTCATCAACATATGAAAAATGAGGAATTTGCATTCATCAGCTCAAGATCAGACTAAAAGTTTAGACACTTAACATGATTGCATGTATCCATTTATTAAACTGATGACAAAACATAATGCTATGATTAACAAATTGCATAATGGTTAAGCATAAAGCGCTTCCTTTCTTTTCCCATACCAAGAAACCAAACGAGAGGGCTATTGATCGGAAGAAGATAGAGTAGAGGCTCAGATCTGAGTTGTCGGGGCAAGAGAGAAGCCAGCGCCGCCATGGCTGCGAAGAACCGGTAATCCGGGTCGCCCCGCCAAGGTACGGGTGGATCGTCTCAATGCCCGAAAGGGTAAAGCCCAGAAAGTGCAGTGGGAGAAGAAATCATCACAGCCTCAAGAAAAAAACAGGCAAATTATATCATAAACCCTAGCATTGAACGTACACATTACTTAGTAGACTGCAGATCAGATGAGATGGAAATCAAGAAAAAACACAAGAAATTGTGTGTACTGTAGTAGTTTATGTTATCAGAAAAGGGCTGTTCGTTTTTTTTTTTTTTTTTTTCCAATGGAATGAAAATCATGGGCACAACAGAGAGGGGCAACCGCCCTTTCAAGAAAAACCCTTCTCTGTGGCCTCAGTCTCTCTGCATTTCTGGGCTATGGAGTGATCTACTTCCACTGTTGCGTTAAAGATGTTATTTATATTCATTCTTGTCCTGGACGACTATGTTCAACGGTATTTTTTAGTGTAAGGCATACTTTATGAATTACTCCCTCCGTCTCTCATTTTATGTGTACTAAAGTTATTTTTAATATTTTTTTGAATGCTACTAGCTCTATTACATTGTAGTATCTGTTCATATACTTTCTCAACCTACTGAAACACAGGCTCGAACTTACAACCTTCCAAATGAAAGTCCAACCCGGATACCATTAGACCACATAGTCCTTCCAAAAAACACAAAGTTATTTTTAATATAATTTTTCATAATATTAAATTTAATATTAATATACAAAATTTATATATTTAAAAATGCTATTAAATACAAAAAATCAAATTTAAAAATAAATAAAAAATATTATAAAAAAAATAAACAAAAAAAAAAGATTTATTTTGACCAATTAATAGTAAATAGGACAGAGAGTATTACGCAAAAAAAATTATCTAGTACATATTATTATTTTGCAGAATATGATTAAAGATTGCAATGTATATTCCCAGGCCACGTAAAAAGTTGATTTCGAGGCAGCACGGGCAGCAATTAATTGGCGCCTAGACACAATTTTTGTAACATTGCCAATTAGATCTTATTATAGAACAAGGGGTTAATTGAACACTTGTGAATAGTAGATGGAGCTTATTTGACACATATGCCAATTAAAAATGAATAATTAAACAGGCATATAACTGATATGCTAAATTTTAACATTACACTATCCCAATTCACAATTCCAAATTTCCAATATTCAGTATACATGATCAAAAATTACTGGACTCCTCAAGCGCCATCTTGTAAATTTCATATTCCCTTAAAAATAATAAAAATTCCTGCAATAAAGAAGCAAATTTCAGGTTCAATATCTGGCAATTACAACTTAGAAGATGAGATGAAATGAAATGAAAAGACACAACCCAACCTACGGGTGTTCAATCGGTTAACCGAACCGTTTTAACCGAAGTTTTTTTTTCTTTAACCATTAACCGAACCGAAATTTGCTCTACCGAATTCACCGATTAACCGAACTTTTAAAAGCTAAAATTTAAAATTCTAAAAATAACACCTAAAATAATAAATTCAATTAAAATAAAATACATATCATAATAAATTCATAACAAAATATACAAAAACATTAATTATAAACTCCAAAAACCATAACTTCAAATTAGTATTAGTATTTATATTTATATTATTATTTATATATATATTAAAAACTTCGGTTAACCGTTCGGTTAATTCAGTTAACCGACCTTTCGAACCGAATTAACCGTTAACCGAAATTTTAAAATTTCTTTAACCATTAACCGAACCGAAAAAGTTCGGTTCGAAAACGGTTAACCGAACTTTGTCGGTTCAGTCGGTTAACCGAAAATTATCCGAAGTTTCAAGCAATAATTAATTGCAATAACCTGAAAGCTCATAAAATAAAGAAAAGCTTGGAATTTTTAACGATTTAAAGTTGATTTCCATGAGAGCGTGTCTTACCTGCAACTGATGCTGACTAAACAGATTAAGATATCCAGTTTCGGGATTAGTGACCAGGTCAATTAGCTCATCATGGTTTTGAGGTGGCTTGCCAGACTCCATCAGCATGGCAGAAACCTATAAAAATGGTTTTAGAAACACAGATGGTGACGTTTATTGACCAAAAGGCAAAAGCTGAAACAAAGATGGTTGCATTTGAAAGTTTACATTTCAACAATACATAACAGATAGTATAATATGGAGAAAATGGATTGAGAGTGTGAGTTTCGGACATATTAGGTTACCTGCATACACCGGAGAATTAATTCAGGAATGCAACACCTGCGACAGAGACCCCTCACTACATATGTAGCAGGGCTTTCGATAGTGCCATCATTTCTGGAATACCATGCATCTAATCTAGAGATTTCCATTGTTACTCCAGCTTGAAAACGAAGCATCTCTCCTGCATTGAAGAAACAAAATTACATCAAGCCAAGTCACTATCATAATTGCATATTGTAACCATAAGCAATTAATTCATCAATAATACATTGCCAGTTAATACAAGAGTATTCTCCTTCCAATTTATCTTTTCTATGGACTACTTTCTGCATTGTGAAAAAATGAACTTTAATGAGAATCAGAACTTGGGTGAAGGATGTGCATACTACATTGTACAAATCTTTCTACAAACTCCTCTTTTTCCACATTTTCAGAGAACTGGAAAATTGCCTTTATTTACCTTTGAAGCCAGCAGCAAGCACTGTAGCAAGAATACCACCATCATGGAGCTCTGGAGATCCAAGCCCATCACCCTCTACCGCCAAGCAGCGTAAAACAACTTCAATGCAGTAGTTGTCCTTAGATGAAATGGAGACATTCACCTGCATTAACAATTTAATGTTTTTTGATTTATCGTTTCCTTAGATGCCAACAGTAAAGAAAGTATCCTCACATCTTTTATTATCTATGATATCTCTCAAAAAAGGGTAGGAACATACCATCAACTGACGGTTTAGCACTTGTTCCTCGCTTACTGAAGAATAGAGTGCACTCATCAATGTTGCACACAAGGTGGCATCTGGAGTCATACATTCACCTGAAGATAGACACAGCATTGCAACAGCATGCAATTCCAGAAATATTGGTTCATCTGTTTCATATATAATTTGATCTTGAGTTGGAACCAGCCAAGGATTTCCTTCTCCTAAAACACACGGAAAATTAAAATAAGAATTAAAAAAACAGAGCAGAAAGTGAGGAAGAAATCTATCGGAGAAACAGTTGTGATTATGTATCTCACACTATCTCACATCCTTTAGGTTCACTTACTTATAAGCAGTAACAAAGAAGTCTGCAGTGTTTCTCTAGCTGCTGTTACTGCTCTATTCTTTTCCTCATCAGATAATTCAAGTGGAGAAATTTCTGTATTCTCTAGTTCAATTTTTAGCCAGTTCCGGTATGTAGCATCACATGAGTAGTATACATTCTGTTTGACATGACAGAATAGGAGTGTTATCTCACAGCATACAGGAGCTGATAACAAACTTAGTAAACAATTACAAAATCATACCCAATCCTGGAACTCTCTCAGATTCGCGGAAGCATCATAATCGTCAGTGGAAACACCTTCAGTTGGATGTTTCAAAGGCTCAGCAAGTAAACTAAGTAATGTGTGTGCTCCAACTGGCATTGCTGGAACCCTCCACATTGAAATAAGAGCAAACTCCCGGAAAAGTACATTGCTACAGAAGTGATTACAGCAATTTCAATTACATAAAGAGAGCACATATTCAACCACATTCATAGAAAAACTTTATGGAAAAGAACAATGAAAGTAATCCACCAAACAAGAAGAGAGGACTTGGTGATGGTTCACTTACAAAATGTAAAGTCTATCATTGTTCCCTTGGGTAAATGTAAAAATTTGGAAGGGAACAAGAAAAAAGTAAATAAATACCTATGCCTCAATGCCCGAAGAAGTAGTTTGGCACTAACATCTTTTGCATTGTTGATTGTAGAGGGGGGTGTAAAACAAAGCCACTGAACAACCATAGCTTTTTGAAGGCTCTGCAGCCGGTGTTGCTCTGCAACATTGTTTGTGCTATCATATTTTTCATCTCTGATTTCTCGGGACCTTGATAAAACCCTGCACTCAAGAAAATCATTCTTGACTTTACCAACTCAATTTTAACAAATAAATGTTGTAATAGAATCATAAATTATGCTTCAGAAAAATAACAAAAACCTCTCAATGATTTCTTCAAAACTGCCTTTTGAATCATCTTCCGGAGTAAATGGCAAGTACTCAATGGCAGAAAGAAAGATCTTATATCTGACATGGACACTGTTGGCAGTGGAAAGAGCAAGGGCATGAGACATTTGATGAGGGACCAAGTAAGGACAAAAGAAACTATAATTGATCAAAGTAATGCTTCCAAATTTTCATCATCCATACTGGTTAGGTAATAAAAAAGGAATGCATTTTCTGGCCTTTTAAATATTTTCTAAATAGACTTTCATATCACTCTGTTTATCTAAAACAACCCTGTTACTGGTAGGAATCTTAATCAGGAGTTACCATGTCTACTGGTGGTGTATCAGAAAGCATTAAGACTCCATATCATAATTGACTCTACGCAGCTAAATT